CTTTAATACAAAACAAAAACTTATGTTGTATACAATAATAAACAGATTATAATAAAAACACATGTACAGAGGTACAAGGCTTGCCAGAGCCCAGGAGTTCAAGTCCAGCCTGGGCAACATAGCAAGACCCCCATCTCTTAGAAGATAAAATAAAATAAAAATTTAAAATACATATACAAAATATAAATACATAAATTCTTATTATTCTGTTTCGTTTTTTTCCCAGCACCTACGATGAATTTGTTTAAACTATATAAGCATATGATGTGACTTTACTGTAGACTAAGAAAAGGAATTTTTTGCCTAACACTCAGTAGAACCACCATTAAACACATCGAGCAGGAGTCACCAGAATCAGCAACCTGAGATTTAAATTCTAGGCAGAGTGCCCAGAACAGGCAGTGCTTCCATGTGGTCTTCTAAAGAATAACTACAGAACTGCAGGTCTACAGTTCAGAGGATAAACTGTCTTGAACACTGATGGAGGGACTTGGAGCACAGCTAAAAATAGGCCAAGGAAAAAGACTATCTTTCATATTCAATATTCAAATCTGCTAAAAACACTGCATTTCAAGGGTAACTAGAGATCTGTGTCACAACTTGTTTTGTTCATGGAACACCAGGAACTGAGGGTCAAGATTATTCCCACTCCTTGGAAGTGTTAGAAGACCAGGATTTTTGCAATATCAGTTCCCAAGTAGAAAGGTTAGCGTTACTCAAATACAACTAAGTCTTCATTCAATACTTACTAAAAGAACTTACAAAACTAACTCTATTTCTAACCCAGAACACAACTCATTGATTTAAGAAAAAAAATAGGATCTCAACAAGACAAAGTAGCTATCCTAGTTTCTTACTCAGTAATAAAAAACAAATTCCCTCAATTTTTTGGAAAATATAAAAGGAATGAAAAAATAACTAACAAAACAAAATGTGTGCTCATTATAGAAAAATTAGAATATATAGTTAAGGAACAAAGATGAAAATGAAGAACACTCATAATTCCACCGCTGGATATAAGCACTATTAACAATTTATTTTCTCCCAGGCATATATATAACGTTAAATGTTTTTCAAATTTGATATTAGACTATACAGTTTGAATCCTCCATTTCTCACTTAACACGATATCATGAAAATATATGCATAAGTCAAAGTTCAACCAAAGAAACAGAACCAGCAGCAGATACAGTCAGCCCTCAGTATCCACAGGTTCTGGATCCACAGGTTCCACATCCATGGATTCAACCAACCACAGATCAAAAATATCCCCCCCCCAAAATGGGTGGTTTCGTCTGTTCAGTGCAAACTTCTTGTCATTATTCCCTAAAAAGTACAGTATAACAACTATTTCCATAGCGTTTACACTGTATTAAGGATTATAAGTAATAAGCAATCTGGAGATGATTTAAATATATGGGAGGATGTGCATAGGTTATATGCAAAAGGGACCTGAGCATTCACGTATTTTGGTAACTGCGGGGGTCTTGAAACCAATACTCTGCAGATACCAAAGGATGACTATTTATTAAGAGATTTACTGCAAGAAATTGGTTTACATAATTGTGAGAGTTGGCTAAGCCAGTCTAAAATCCAGATGGCAGGCTACAATAGAACTCTCAAAAAAACTGAGTGTAGCTGCTGTCCACAAGAAGAATTTCTTCTATTTCAGGGACTCAGTGCTCTGCTCTTCAGGCTTTCAGCTAATAGATCAAGCCCACTCAGATCACGTAGGACTTTACATAAAGACAACTGATTATGAATGTTAATCATACCTACAAAATACCTTGACAGCAACAACCAGATGAGTATTTGATTAAATAACTGGGGACTAGAGCTTAGCCAAATTGACACACAAGATTGACCATCACAATATCTGTATCGGTCATCTATAAAAGCATTTTATAAATGTATATATCCATTCCTTACTATAAAAAGTCAGCATACTTTCAAAATTTTGCTGATATAAGTAATGCTGAAAAAAATAAAACTGAAATAAACAATGCTATAGACTAAATGTTTGCGTCCCAAAATTCCTATGTTAAATCCTAGCCCCAAGGTAACAGCATTAGAAAAACAGTACTTTGGGAGGTGATTAAAGCTCTGCCCTCATGACTGGAATTAGTGTCCTTATAAAAGAGACTTTAGAGAGCTCCTTCACTCCTTCTACCATGTGAGGACACAGCAAGAAAACAGAGATGTATGATCCAGAAAGTGGGCCCTCACCAGACACTGATTCTGCCAGCATCTTGATCTTGGACTTCCAGTCTCTAGAACTGTGAGCAATAAATTTCTGTAGTCTATAAGCCACCCAGGCTATGGTATTATGTATAGCAGCCTGGAAAGATTATTACAATCAACTTTGTATATTCAGTCTTCACTCTTCTATCTGATTGTTATAGAAAGACTACTGGTAAGAGGAGGCTACCTGCAGAAAGAACTCCAGAAAACCACACAGGGTCTTTTGGCTTAAATACTAAACTGCACATGATAAAGTGTGACTCTTCCAGACAGACAAGAAACTCCTGGGTAACTGATCTGGACAATTCCTAGAGCTGGGAGATGCTCAAGTTTCAACCAGCCAAAATGGAAAGACCTCACTGAACAGCTGGAACATTTACAAGAGACCCCAGAAGCCCATGTCTTAGCAGACTAAACTAGCCCAAGAATAAAAGTATTCTAGACACACTTTAACAAAGCTAAAAAACAAGCTTCTAAAAGATATTGCTGATCAGCAAATAAATTAATTGCCTGCAAGAACAAAACTCAATACTCTTTAGCAGAAGAAACCAAATTTCAGAGACTCAACAACATAACATTCATAATGTCTAGTATTCAATCAAAAGTAACCAGACATTTAAAGAAGCAGGAAAATGGAAGTATTTTAGGAGAAGACTCAGTCAATAGAAACAAACCAAGAAATGACAAAGATAATGGATTTTGTAAGTAAAGACTTTAAACAGCTATTATAAACATATTGAAGGATTTAAAGGAAAACAGGGTGGAAATTACAGCCATAAAAAAGAATCAAAGGGAACTCGCAGAGCTGAAAAATACATGTGAAATAAAAAATATACTCGATGAGTTTAATTAAAGATGAAACCCAAAAGGAGAAAAGATAGTAAACCTGAAGATAGGGCAACAGAAACTATTCCAAAGGAAGCACAAAGAGAAAAGAGACTCCAGCAGGAGATGTGGGAGAGTTTGGAAAAAGCTCAAAAGTTCCCAAAAAAGTATAAACACAAAGAAAACCACACCAAAACAAAAAATGATCAAATTGCTGAAAGTAATGATAAACAGAGAATACAGCTGATACAGGCCAGGCATGGTGGTTCATGTCTATGGTCCCAGCACTTTGGGAAGCCCAGGTGGGAGGATCACTTGAGGTCAGGAGTTCAAGACCAGTCTGAGCAACACAGCAAGACTCCCATCTTTACAAAAAAATTAAAAAATAAGTTGGGCATGGTAGCATGTGTCTGTAGTCCTAGCTACTAGGGAGGCTGAAACAGGATAATAGCTTGAGCCCGGGAATGCAAGGTTATAGTGAGCTATGATCAGGTCACTGCACTCCAACCTGAGTATCAGAACAAGATCCTGTCCTTTTTTTTTGTTTAAAGCAGCTGACACAGCAAAAAAAAAAAAAAAAAAGGTGGCGGGGGACGACTATAACACTGACACACGAACTAAGAACATTCATTCATTTGTGGTCAGAAACAACGCAAGCCAGAAGACAATGGAATGATATTCTTTAAAATATTCAAAGAAAAATAACTGAAAACTGAACTTCTATATCCAGAAAATATTCTCAGAAATGGAAAGATGAAATAAAGGTATTTCAGAGCAACAAGAGCTCAAAAAATTCATTACTAGCAGACCAGCTACAAGAAATATTAAAGAAAGATCTTCAAGGTAAAGAGAAATATTAGATCTCTGCCCTCTACGCTATGTCCAGACTCTCTACCCTTATTTCATCCCTTCTCAGCCAGTGCTCCATATTCAAGATGAGCTCCCCTTCTCCATCAACTTGATTCTCCCATCCAATAATTGTTTTCTCTGAGTCCCATTATTTAGCATGGCCTTTAAGACTCTGCAGTCTTGTCCCATTCTATCTTTACAAAATTTAGTTTTCTTACTCCATATTTTATAAATCGTTCCAAGTTGTTCACCTTGCTCCATTAATATAAACTACATTCAAAAACTCCCCCAAACTGGGTCAGAAAGGAGAGTGCAAGTAGTGGGAAGAACAGAGAAGAAGTCAAGGAGATAAGAGGGAGAACACGACCAGTCCTATTAAAGAAGGAAGACAGTAGAGTTTCCTGAAAACAAAGCAGGTCAGGAGGATCACAGCTGTCTTGCAGACACTGCCACTCCCAAACAAAAAGATATCAGCTTCTCTCACACTGCAGAAGTGAGGACTATAGGGAAGGATTACATAAATTTAGAGCACCCATGAAACATACTTAAAAGTAAGTACAAGTTTAACACAGGACTTGATTGTTTAACACAGGACTTGATTCAGGGAAACCCTGTATCATATTCCAGCTCTTCTACTCATTAGCTGCTTGATTGTCAGCTCATTTAAAATTCACAACAGCCCTATGAGATAGGTACTATTATTATCACCTCCATCTTACAGAGGAGAAAAACAAGACACAGAAAGGTTATACTGCTTGTCCAAGGTAATAAATTCAGGAAGCAGCAGAGTCAGGATAAGACTCCAGTCCCCTATATTAGACTGCCTCTTTGGGTGCACTGTGGGGCACATCCTAGCAGTGCTCCTCCAGGGAAAAGGACACAAAGAGACGAGATGTTGAGGCTAAGCCTCTAAACACAGATGAAGGTAGGCTTTTGTGCAGGGAGTCAGGTGCTCTAATTTTGGCTCTGGCTCTTAATTAATTGTGTGAGTATCAACCTTACCTAATAAGGAAGGAAGAGGAAGAAGACTGAAGCCAACTTGACACCAGGCAAGAAAGAAGAAAGCTGCAAAATAGAATTCCTACCTGGGAAGAGCTAGTGGTTCTCTGGAGACTTCGGCAGCACCTGCAACTGCTCCTGGAGAGTCTGCCTCCTCTGAGCAACGGGCCACCTCCTGCACAGCATCCTGCGTGTCTGGAGACTGCGCTTTCTCTGCTTCCTGAGGCTCACCCAATTCTGTGGTGGAGTCGATCTCTACTTCCTGCACAGGCACTGGGACTGACTCCTTCTCGGCTGCGGTGCCTGCCGCAGCCTTGGCTTCTTCTTCTTCCTTTCTTCTAAACTTCTCTTCAAGTTCCTGCCTCCTCTTCTCATCATCCTGACGGGCCATGTGGTCAAAGGTTTTGAATACCTAAAATCAAATGGCAATCCAGCAATCAGTTGATCTTTCCAGCATCGTACCACATATCCTGTAGAAATGTGGCAAAATGTGGTAAGGAGAGAATTAAAGTCAATAGGCAAAATGGAAAAGCACTACAACTTCACCAAAAGCTGATAGAAAAACAGTCTTCAACAAGAGGGTTTCAAAATCAATAAAATCAACAACTTACAAGCCAAGGCTAACAATATTTACATATCTAAAAGTTGCACTGCTAGATGGTCTTGGCTGTCATTATTTTTATAGACCCCAAGCAGTCTTGTCCTGGTACTGTGGGTTGTAAAAGCACCAACGACTCAGACTCACACATCAAAGCTAAAAATGTAGACCAATTTCAACCCACAAAATGCAGCCAGGTTTACTGAACTGTTGCTACCTTTTATCACACTGCAAGAGCTGAAGGGAGGTAAAAGCATCCAATTCAACAAACATCCACTATGTGCCTACAATGTGCAGAAACAACAAAACAACAACAAAATCAAAATAAGGTTGGGCACGGCAGCTCATATCTGTAATTCCAGCACTTGGGAGGCCAAGGCGGGAGAACTGCTTGAGCCCAGGAATTTAAGACCAGCCTGGGGAACACAGAGAGCTTGTGTCTCTACCAAAAAAAAAAAAAAAAAAGCGCCAGATATGACGGTGCACATCTATAGACCCAGCTACTCAGGGGGCCACGGTAGAAGGACTGCCTGAGCCCAGGAGGCCAAGGCTACAGTGAGACATGATGGAGCCACTGCACTCCAGCCTGGACAAGTAAAACCCCCAACACTAAAAACAAAAACAAAAATCAAAATGACAGCTCTTGCCTTCTAAAAATTCAAAATTCTGGTGTGTAAACAAATCCTTAAGCTTTTCTGGGACACAGTCACACCCACATATGACAGCTCTGACACAAGAGGGGCACAAAGGAAGGAACCCTTGCTGCCCTGCCAGACTGTGAGTGGGAATGAGCATTTCTCCTGAAATAAATCCAAGGAGCTGTCTTGGAACAAAGAGGCTCTCAATTAGACCTTGAATGAAAGGCATATCTTCTGTAGGGAACCACTGGAGGAATGCCACACCTCCAGAACAGGATCAACAGGAAACAGCAAAAGGTCTCACAGTAGCTGGAGAGAGAAAAGGCTGAGTAATCAACCTGGAAAATGGGTGGGAGTTAGACTCCAAGGGCTAGGATGCACACAAGTATTAAATATCAATGTTCTGTGCCCTGCACAGGAAGACAGAACAAAAGAAGGGTGCTAACATATATACGGTGCCAAATGCTTCTACATTCTCTTAAATACTTCACAAAAATCCTATGAAGCACTGGCATTTCAGAGATGAGGAAACTAATGCTCAGAGAGGTTAAGTAACTTGCCCAAGGTCCTGCCAGCAAAAGAAAAAAGTAAAAAATTACACAAGATGCACCAAATAATGCAGGGAGATGATGTAGGCAGAGGAAAATCAACAAAATCCTAAAAGGTTAAAAACTAGAAAGATCAGACCCATTTCTACTTCTGCAGATAACCTGAAGCCTTGACTTGATTCTAGCATCCACATTTCCCACATTTCAGGTCCTTTGCCCTCAGAGTCACTCATCCTCCCAATGCCCCAGATCTTCAACATAACTCCATGAAAGTAAAGCAACTTAAAGGACTCTCTCTCACAACACCTGAAACTTCTAACATAGGAACTCCCACGCCCAGACATGGTCCTCACCACGCCCACTGCCTCTGCTGCCTCAGTATATCCAAGCTCCCCTGACCTGCCCATCAGCACCAGCAGGAAGCTCCCTCACATCACTAGGGACCTCCTAACCATTACATGTTCTCAGTACCCCTTTTTTTTGAGACAGGGTTTCACTCTATCACCCAGGCTGGAGTTGCACTGACATGGTCACACTTCACTGCTGCCCTCAGCCTCCTAGGCTCAAGTGATCCTCCCGCCTCAGCCTCCCAAGTAGCTAGGGCTACAGGTGTGTGCCACCACCCTCTCAGTACTCATTCTAGAGTCACAGACTCTGGAGCTGGAAGAGAACTCCAATCTGTGACTTCCAATCAACCTTTTCAGCTGACAAGAGGTGAAGTGACTCTCCCAAGATTTCCCCACAAGTTCTGTGAGAAACAGGTTATAGCCAGCTTTCCTGATTCTCCTCTCAAGGACTTCTACTAAGCAGCACTTCTCAAACTAGACTCCAGGATAAACACAGTGTTATCAATTGTAATGAATGGGACATGATGGAACCCTCAATGGCCTGTCAGACTAGATGGGAACACTCATTCTAAACTATTTTTGTCCTAAAACATACTATTATGAAGTGGAATGCAATACTCACATATATCATTCCTGTTGAGAGTTCTTCAAGCTATGCATTCAGGCTGTGCTAGCCCTTACATTTAGGAGGAAAAGTATGAGATGACTTACACTATGCTAACAGTTCACTCCCCAAAATATCAGGGGAAAGCTTTCAAGTTCCAGAGTGGTGCACAACACACCCATCAAATCAGCAAAGATGCCAAGTATCCATGCCACCCCTGGTGGGAGTAGGGGGCGGGCCACAGAAAGACATCCTATGCCATCAAGTTAGGAACAGAAAAAGAAAACTCCTAAGAGGAAGAGGAGTCGGGGCGGGGGATCAGGAGATGACCTACTATCACTACTGTGCCAGTATCAGGTCATTTGATCTGGTTCAATAGTTTAATACCTCATCTCACAACAAAACCCTTGCCAAGTGAGTTTTTGTGGATAAAAGAACAGGTCCCAGGATTCAGCCTAACTAAAATATCCAGGAAATATGTGCTTATGGTTGAGAACCACTTCTAGAAAACAAGACACCCCTCTTAACCATCTTTGGACAACGGTCCTTTGGTGTCTGTAAAACTTACCACCCTTCACAAAGATTATGCCCCAAAGCCTGTCCTCCACCTTCAGCTCTTCTCTCTCCATAAGACCACTCTAGTTCCTTTATCTCCCACACAATCTAATCCTGTGATTTCTTCTTTTTGAGACAGTGTCCAGGGTCTTGCTCTGTCGTCCAGGCTGGAGGGCAGTTGCACGATTATAGCTCACCGCAGCCTTGAACTCCTAGGCTCAAGTGATCCACCCACCTCAGCCTCCTGAGTAGCTGGGACTACAAGATGTGTGCCACCATGGTCAACTAATTTATTTTTTTTTTTGTAGAGATGAAATCTCACTATGTAACCCAGGGGCCTCAAGCAATCCTCCTTCACTGGCCTCCCAAAGTGCTGAGATTACAGGTGTGAGCCACCATGCCCCACCCAGTGATATCAAGAACTATAGACTCCTATCTACAATTTCAGCTTGTCTAAAATTTAATTTTTCCCCTAAACTGAGGTGAGAGCTCAGTTAATGCATTATCATTATTCCAGTCACCCAAGTTTGAAATGTTAGATCATCTTTGACATAACTCTCCCTTTCCTCTGTCCCCACTCCCAACCTCTACTATTTAATTAGACTGGTCCCCAAACTCTATCCTATAGGAGTGTCTTAGCCTGTGAGAGATGTTTTATAAACAGTTACTAGTTAAATGAGTTGTACTACCTCTGTAAGTGCATCTGTGAGACAAGGACAAAGACCAATCTCTCAGGTTATGTTAAGGATTAAATAATACCACAGAATATAAAACATCTGATACTAGTACATAATAGGTGCTGAGTAAATATGCCTTTCTCCGCCTCACCTTTCTGCAAGCTACAATCATCCTACACAAAGTGCTCTAACCCTACTACGGAATGGTTAAATAATAGAGCAGAAAGATTTACAATCAGAAAATTAAGTTTTTAGTCCCAGCTCTATGATGAACTAGCTGTGTTTCTGGTCAAATCACTTAACCTTGCTGAATTGGTGCATAAAGTTCAACTTTATCTATTTCACAGAGATACCATGAAGATCAAATGGCAAGACTTCGTTAAACTGCCATAAGGTCCTCCTAAAAGCCACTTCCAACAGCTCTCTGGTCAATCAGACGGCATCTGGGCCACTGGTAAGGATGAGGAATAGTCTTTTTTTTTTTTTAATTTTAAAGATGTGATGTATAATTCAGGATTAGGTATACAAGAAGTCATCATACAGGTAAAGTGTGGGCCTCCCTGTGGTCCCCACGAAGAATAGTCTTAAGATCTGAAATTGAACCCCATCCCCACCCCTCATATGACCATATTACCTTGGTAGTTACCGAGACATTCTAAGCTTTGGTTTCTTCCTATGGGCACTGAGGAAAGTAATACCTGATCAGCCTTCAGTAAGATTTCAGGAGGTAACATTTGCAGCATTTCATTAACTGTAACATGCTAGAGATCTGTGGGAGCTATGATCAGCATTTCTACTTTCTCAGGTTTCTACAAATAGGTTCAATGCTTGGCTGAATACTTTCTTTTTTTTTTGATTTGGAGTCTCACTCTGTCGCCCAGACTGGAATGCAGTGGCCGCTCCTGGCCACCGCAGCCTCGATCTGCTAGGCTCCGGCAATCCTTGCGCCTCTGCCTTCCAAGTAGCTGGAACTACAGGAGCGCGCTACCACGCCCGGCTAATTTTTTGATTTATTATGGAGATGAGGTCTCGCCAAGTTGCCCAGATGGGTCTCGAACCCGCGGGCTCCCAAGGCGTGGGATTACAGGCTGAGCCACGGAGCCCGGCCTGAATACTTTCAATCTCACCAAAAGTCCCACCTCTCCTACAAAACCTTCTTGACTTCTCAACCATAATTTTTATTTCTTTCCTTCTAACAGGCTCTATCACATAATTGGCATTGCAGAGTTCTCTATTACTTTCTGTGTTTTCTCTCCTTAACTAAAAGTGTCAAAAGGAGAGGCCAGTTGCTTAAACAGCCACATCACCTTGCCTGTGGCAACAGAGTGTAAACTACATTCGGTAAATGCTTGCTTATTACTACACTTATTTATAAATACTCAGTTAACTTCACTGAATGGGTATTAATAGTGCTTCAAACATACAATAAATTTAACCAGGGGATGAATAGATTTAAGTCCAAATGAAAATTTCATAAGCACTACAGTGACTGTTTTTGATCTGGGAAAACACATTTCAAACACGCGCCTGCACCCACTGATCAACCCAATACCTTTGTCATCCTCGACATCTCCAGAGACTTTGGAAGTTCTGGGGTGTGCAGGTTTCTGTTGTTGTAAATGCCCCTCCCCTCTTCCGGCCTTATAGGGATTTCACCCCTGACTAGCAGCCTCCAGAACCGTGAGGGCTATACGCTGCGGTGTGCTGAGCAGAGCCCTCAACAGCGGACTCGCTACTTCTGACACCTCAGAACGTCCTGGGCAGGCCCTGGCTGCTCCCTCAGCAGAAGAACCTGGCATCCGATCCGCGCTTCAAATTACCCAAGCCATTCGTGCAGGCTCACCCCCCAGGACCCAGGACCCAGGAAAAGGAGGAAACAGGCTGGGAGGGCTTGGAGAACCGGCTGCCAAGAGTTGGGCAGGCCGGGGGCAGCGGTCCCCCAGATTGCAGGCCCCTCCGCCTCACCTGAAGCACCAGGGCCTGCGCGGCCCCGGGCGGGAAACCCATGCGATCCGACGGGTGGCGCAGCAGGCGATAGAAGTCTGTCTTGCGATAGAGGAAGCCGAAGAGCACGCGCAAAAAGTCTTGGACGTTGCCCACGTGCTGCAGGATGCCCAGGAGGGCCTGGTCATACAGCTCGGTCGTCCCTGGTTCCATGTCGCCGTCAGCCCAAGTGATGCTCCACACTGCGGGCGCCGCCTAAGACCGGCCGACCGGCCACTTCCGGCGTGCGTGGCCAACGGCTCCGCCGGACCGTGAGACCACAGAACTTGTGGTCCGTGCTGGTTCCACCCTTCGGCCCGGTGCTGCTTTCCCCAGACTTTCCTGCCTCCAGGGCTTTTCCCCGGGACAGCTCTTGCTAAAAGAGCCCGACGTGGGCCACGGTGTGGTTCCAACTCGCAAGAAGGCCGTGACTGCTGCGCTGAGGGGACCTGGCCGCCATGTTTAAAGAGCGGAAGAATTGTGCCGAGGGCGGTGTCACGTGATTGCTCGGGTTTTGTCACGTGGCCTGTGGAGCCTTTCTCCTCTGGGTTGAATTCCCGCCTGAGTATCCTGAGCCCGTGGTTTAAACTCGGGTTGCTGTGAGCTTTCTGTTAGTGGGCCAGATAAGGGAGAAAGTGTATATAGAGATTGCATGGATTTCTTATAATATACCTATTAGTAAAACTGAAGGCGTTGCATCAGAAGAAATTCATATTGACAAAAGGAGAAGAAAAGATACGTTGAGTCCCTCCACATATGTTAAGTGGACAGAGCAAGGTGCAGAATAGGTATGTGTATACATGACGTATATACGATATACGTCATATGTACATGTGTCATTTGTGGTCAAAGTATCGTCTTTAAAAAGTTAAAAACATGACACTCATACAAATATATAATTAATACATGTCCAAGATTTATTCAACAAATTAATAAAGGAACCAGTGATATAGTAAAGCTGGTTCAAAGAGCAATTTGAGGAACTGGGCATTTATAAACGTTTTTAGAAAGCGTAAGAATAAGGTTTTTAGGTTGGATTTAAAAGCTGACTAGTGTTTTGCAAGATGATAAAACCGTAGGCTATGTTTTCTGGTGAATGGAAACAATGTGCATCTATACTGGACTAAAATCTCCAGGGTTACATATAAAGTGTGTGGGCTGTAATGAATTGTAAGTAAAATCCAACTCAGGTAAATTGCCCTAGAACAGGGTTCTGAAACTTGTGATGTACGAGTCATTGATGCTTTAACGTTCTAAAGAACATTTGTTTATGTGAGTCCTATCAATATTTACCATATGGATATTAAAACTTGGAAAAATTTTAAATATGTATTCATTTTTAAATAACCACAAAATACATTACGTGTTAACATACTTTAATGAAAAAATGAATCAATGAATCAACTTAAAATCAATGAAAGTTGAGTGAGAAGAGTAGCATAGCTTTACATTTCTTCACATCTCTCAAAGGAAGACAGCAAGATTCTCATATCTTCTTCTGCATTAATTGCCTGCAATAGTATGTGAAAAAATCCAATCTCACACAGATAGTGCAAATGAGAGGAGTGTTTTGACTTTTCAAATAAATATGGGTATTCGTCTTTAAAACTACATCAAAATTTTATAAGTGGTGGTTTCTTAAAGGTTACTTGCCATATGGAAAGTAAAGCCATATCAATAAATTTTTTCCATTCTGTTACATTAATATTTATTGGTCTATTCTGTGCTTTGAATGGATCTTTACATAAATGCAGGATTTTATACCATTATACATTAGTCATTGGAAATTGTTGGTCCACTCGTTATGCAGCTCTTCCAAATGTTCACTTATTTTGTTATGCAACATCAAAAAATCACATCTGTTAGAGTCAACACTAAACTTGTCAGAGAAATCTTTAATTATTGGGAGCTCTCCAGGTCATGGAGGCAGGATATGGGGGGTTTATATTCTAATTTTAGCTTAAAAGCTTGAACTTCATTATTGATAATAGATACTATCAATTGTTTCTCTTCAGGTGACAAGCTTATCTCATTCTATCATTTAAGTGAAAATGGTGCTGCATGAAAAGAGGTTCAACTTGTTCAGCTGGCAGCTCAATCACACAAGTGCTTTGCATCAAAGCAACCATGGTACTCCAATATAAAGCAAAAGTACCTTATGCATACTTCTCTTTTAATCACACAAAACATTTTTAAAAGTGCTCAACATGTAATAAAATCGCTAATTTTAATGTTATCAGGAGCATTCTTAAGTGAAACTGGCAATTTTTAAACCATAAACGTAGGGCAGTGAAGAATACAATGTGTACTAGTAGAGTTTGTTTCCTTTTATGGACTGAATGTGCTCTCCTAAATTCGTATGTTAAAGCCCTTATTAGGGCTTCCAAATGTGACTGTATTTGGAATCACACCAATGATTGGGGGGCTTTAGGAGGTAATTAAGATTAAATGAGGTCATAAGGGTAGGGCCATACCCAGTAGAACAAGTAAGAGACACTAGAAATCTTGTTCTACACACACAGAGAAGAAAGGCCATATGAAGGCACCATGAGGTTGCCACATGCCAGAAAGAGAGCCCTCACCAGATACCATCACCTAGATCTTGTATTTCTGGTCTCCAGAACTGTGAGAGAATAAATGTATGTTTTGTAAACCACCCAATCTGTGGTACTTTGTGACAGCAGCCCTAGCAAACCAGTACAAACTAGTTCAAACTATTGATTCTTGCTAATATACTTGTAGCTTTACCCGCCATTGCTTTTGCACCATCATTCACAAATGATGCAAATGTAAAAAAGCAAATAACATCATAGTATTGTTATTTTGATCTTGGAGACATCCCCCCACCCTCCCACTCCTCTACCCCTCACCCCCCTCCCACCACCCCAGGGTTCACATGCTACACTCTGATAATTGCTGCCCTAGAGAATTAATGAGTCCTTGGGTGAACCTGTTAATAATACTGCTGTATGACTTTGAAAGGACATGCAGCCATCTTCTTGTTATATCTAAAAGTTTTGAATAATTTGCTGTAGCATCTAAAAGCATTACAAGAGATGGAACACACACTGCAACTGGAAAGGGGAAATTGAGGAAAACAGTGTATTTGATGTTGTATGCATGCATTCCCTATTCAAAGAATAAATAATTTTAAAAATAAAGTGAATGGAAAGCTAAACACAATTTTACAATATAATTCAGCAATCATGCTCTTTTGTATTTACACAACTGATTTGAAAACTATGTCCACACAAAAATTCACACACAAATGTTGATTGCAGCTTTCCTTATAATTGCCAAAAACTGGGAGCAACCAAGGCGCCCTCAAGAGGAGAATGGATAAACAAACTGTAGTACCTTCATATGATGAAATTCTATTCAGCAATAAGAAACGAAGTATTAATCAACAAAAAGTCCCATGGGCTGATCTTAAATGCATACTGCTAAGAGATAGAAGCCAGTCTAAAAAGGCTACCACCCATTATATGACATTCTGAAAAAGGCAAAATATAGAAACAATAATAAGATCACTGGTTGCCAGGGTTTGGATGTGAAAAAGGTTGAATGAAGCTCAGGGGATTTTTAAGGATCTAAAACTATTTTATATATTAATGGTAGATACATCGCACTAGTTATTTGTCAAAACCCATAGAAATTTACAGCAGAAAGAGTAAACCTTAAGGTATGTAATCTAAAAAATCAGAAGATTGGGGGATCCAAGAATGAGATGCAGAATGTGACAAAACAATCTAACTGCATTACAAATGTACACAAATGTATACAACCTCGCTGGAGGGAGTGGTAGGAAGAGATGCTGACCTAAGTAACTTTGGAAATGAGTGGAGTTTTAAAGACTGAAGACAGAATTGTATATAATAAACACTGAACTCTAGTTGATCAAGTTGTTTCCCACAGGGATAAGGGTCATTAATTCTGAAACCACTAGACATGTATAGTGGAAATGAACAATTAAGTACATGGTTATGGATGATGGTAGCCAGGTTTCTCACTGATGGCGTGAAACGTTATAGATAAATAAGGGAAGAAGGCTAGAATAATCCATGTGGTAATAATAGAACAGAGTTTGAAACATCAGTATGAATTAATGTTTAGCTTACTATAGATACAAATGGCTTCATATAGAAATAGTTATAGAAAGGTATGTATCTGCAGGTTAGTGTACACACATATTTGCTTGCTCTCAGCTGAGAAGGTCAAGAAGCAGCAATGTTCAGTACCAACAAGCATATTTTGCACCCAGTTGGATAGAAGCAACTGAAAGAGCTTCTAGTGGCCAAAGCTGAAACAATTAGTGCAAGAAAATGAAGTCATATTATGCTAGAACCCAAAGTACAAAATGAATATCTATGAGTTCATGCTGATAGATATAAATGTACTGATATATGTTCATACATGTATGATACATAGATATCATACTTAATAAAGATATGGAAGAGAATAGACAAATTTCCTGTTTAGAAGACTTTCAAATAACTTATGTAGATACTCTTCCCTCAAGAAGGTGAACCATGAGTCCCTAACCTTTATGTCTGGGATGTGCATAGTGATTCTTCCTAATGGTAGAGTATGAAAAGGGGGGAAAAGAATAACTACGCTGGAGAAACCTGACAAGGACTATCCCAGTCAGGTGATCAATGTCAACATCAGCTGTGATAAGCCATGTTGATAGTATGTACCGTTGATAAGATGTGATGAGAATGGCTCTTTACCTCTGTGGTCTTCCTCCCAAAGATCCATAAGCCCAGGCTGATCATGAGAAGAACATCAGCCATCCCCCATTTGAGGAACATTCTACAAAATACCTAACAAGTACACCTTAAAATGTCAAGGTCATTCAAAACAATAAAAGTCTGAAACATTCACAGCCAAGAAGAGATTAAGGAGACCTGACAACTAAATGTCATTTGGAAATCTGTCTAGGATCCTGAAAAAGAAAAAAAAGATATTAGGTAAAAATTAAGGAAGGCAAAATAAAGTATGGATTTTAGCTTGTATTAATTACCAATATAAGTGCATTCATTGTGAAAAATAAACCATACTAATGTGATATGTTAATAATATGGTAAACTGGGTGTGTGCAATTAATAATAGTATACAGATACTCTGTACTATCATTAGAAAGATTTTTTCATAAATCTAAAATTTCTTTTAAAAATGTATATCAGAAAGTGATAATCATCAATAATCCCATTGCCTCCCCTAAAAAGTAATAGGACATGTTGTTTTGGTGAGGCACT